ATGTATATATATAATTTAAATTTATTCCTGTACCTTTGATGAAGTAAGTAAAAGTCTAAAAAGTTACTGCCACGTATTTTGCTCAGACTCCTCGCTCAGTCTGCAGTGAACGTTGCAATCCAGGATTTAGAAAAAGCCCTCAGGAGGGAAAGCCTGCCTGCTGTTTTGATTGCATCCTTTGCCCAGAGAATGAGATCACCAATGACACAGGTAAAAGCATGGCTTGTGAACATATTCTCATTCTATTTTATCTTCATTCCATCTATCTGGGAAATGGAAAATATCTTGTAGAGGACACCAATAGTGTGATTGTTCCTTCACTTATCAAATTATGTGTTAAATGCTATTGCCTCATAGCAGTAACTATTGTTGTAAAACATATTTTCCCTTTAAAATACATTCTAATTTATTGTATTCCTATTAATCTAAATTTTCTTTACAAGCATTGGAACTACAGCAAGATTACAGTCAAGACAAGAGTCAGGCATATTTTATTTTCTAGTGGCTGACACTATTCTTCATACAACATAGGTGCTTGCTGACACTATTCTTCATACAACATAGGTGCTTGTAGAGATTGAGTTTTATTAAAGAAAGGGAGAGATTCTTGATGTACAACATGCTTATAAAACAGTACAATCCAATTCCTAGTATGTATTACTCATTTTCCTAGAATGCATAAGTAGGTGGAGAGACAACCTGCTCCATTCATTAGCATCTGTACAGCAGAATTGCAAGGATGATGTGCACATAGAATAAGGGATTTAAAAATGATAATATTTACATTTAGGAAGGTGTTTTAGGTTCTCTCACAGATGTTATAGTATTATATAAGAATAAAAAGAAGTGGCATAAATCCTTTTAAGATTAATAGAAGTGGACAAAATAGCATATTCAACATTCATGCAATATTCAAATATCCTGAAGGAAAACACCATGTTATTAAAACACAGATAAAATGAGGATTAGGGTTGAAAAAATTCCAGCAAATTTATAGAAATCTAACATTGAACACTTTTGCATATCATAAGTACTATTTTGGAAATATTTAACTTTCTTATAAGTCATGACATGGTGAAATCACCTTTATATTGACTATTTTCAAATTTGGGTTTTGTCTGATATAAACTTTGACTTCAAAATTAATTAATATGACTTAAAATGTTCTATGAAATATTTCAAGACAAATTATGTGCTGTATCACATGATTACTTGAATACATGTTCTCCATAAATTATGGAAATACGGTACTTTTCTAAAAATCTTGTATGTGCACACAAGATTGTGCTTCCAATAGGTATAATTCTCAATCACATATAGGATATAGGATATATCAAAGCATAAAATATCAAACATGCACAATTGAATATCCTGATAGATCCTTACACATAGCAAGTTCAGAAGTGGATAGGCTCTAGTGGTACCACTTCTCATTCAATATTTTTCTTCATATGTGTTCCCCTGTGACTTAGTAAATTATGTTGGCTTCCTAATATGAAGTTCTTTATTAAATACCTGGGGGATCAACTCCTGTGAGTTGAAGTTGAAATTATCCTGAGGCAAATACCCATTCTTTCTCAAATTTTAATCACATACTATTAAAAAGTAGAGAAAATTAAACATGAAGAAAATGAAAGATGGGATACAGTCTCAAAGGAATTTTTAAGAAATTAAGAGAGAAAATAAACAGAATTAAATGTGATTCTGGTAACAAAAAGTGACAACTCAGTGAAATTGATTGAGAAGACAGAGAAAACTTGAAAGCTAGTATAAAATTATGAAATTTGTTTGTTAGTATAGTTATATGGAAAATCTTTCCCATTAAAATATAAGTAATTTAACAGAAATGTATGTCTTGAAAGCTACAAAATCAGAGGAAAACATCAATGCAGTTGTAAGAGAAAATTTAAAAATCTCTATAGCAGCAATACCTCCACAGTACTATGTCTGGCATCCGTAGTATAATATTTCACTCCAAAGTTTTGTTCATTAATAATATTACCAGTGAAATTTATAATCATTCAAAAATGCAGTAACACTGACCTTATTCTTTCACAAATGAAAACAGTGGAAATCAATCCGTTTTAAGAGAGGAGCTAATTGGTGTTACTCATAGTTGAAAATGCACTTACAAGAATAAATTTCACAGACACTTTCCTCTATAAACTAACTTCACATGTTCTGTTCAGGGACACTATACCATGAGCAAACTCAGTTTACAAACTATAATTACATGTACTATATCCTGGGAAAAGAAAAACAATGCTACTAAATTAAGGCAATAAAATAAAATTGTGCATCACTGTGATTTACAAAGAAACAACCAACATGCTTATTGCTAAATGAGGAGTAGGAGAAAAATCTCCAAATGACCCCAAAAATGCTATCTGTGGTATTCTGTAGTACGTTTTGCAACATGTGGTGCATTTTTTAATTCAAGAATGACTTAAGAACTTTCTGAATTATATTTCTGCCAAATTTTAAATGCTACATCATGGTCAATGCTAAAAAGAAAATACACAGAAATTTATATTATTAATGGGAAAAGGTGAATAATAGAAATTCTGAATGGTATTAGTTTTTAAACATAAAATCCATTTAAATGAAAAAAATTACATTGGATTTCCTAGTTATAGAATACAAGCCCATTACCAAGTAAGTAAAACCAGTTTTCAAACACCAGTCTTAAAATATTCATAGATAAAGTTTTCTTTTTCTTATTTTTTAGAAACTACAAAATGGTAAAACAAAAAGAAAAAACTTAGAATTGATACAGAATTTCAAGAAAAAAATACAAATTTGACAATACTTGTTGTATTACATATTACTACATGCAAATTAATTGTTTAGATTACCAAATATAAACATGAAAAATTCGGGGGTCGGAGAAAAACCAAGAATTAACTCCTGTTTTAAATAGACGAGCAGAAGTCAGCACCACAGTTATCCAAGTCATCCTGTATATGTATTCTTTCCCCTTTTTTCTTTTGTCCTTTTCCTCATCCTAGGTTTTCCTTCCCATTGAACAGCTTATTTCCCTCTCACAATATCTATCAAAGCTTTGAGATTTTATTTACTCTTCTAGGTTTTTGCACTACCAAGTAATATGATATTCTCACATGTGAGTCTAATTTAATTCACTTACTAGAATGGTCTCAAGTATTATCCGTTTACTTCGTAGATAAAATTTTCAAAATTGACCTTAAACACATATAAACTTACATATGTAATGATTTATTCTGTAATTGCTTTTAAAGACACCAAAATCAAATTACTAAAATATCTCTTTGACAGTAAAAATTAAATAAGCAGTTGCACATAGTAAGTTCATACATGGATAGGCTCAATAGTGGTACCACATCTCATTCAATATATTTCTTCACATGTATTTCCCTGTGACTTAGCAAATTATGTTGGCTTCCTAATATGAAATTCTTCATTAAATATCTGGGGAAATACTTGGGATTTTTTTTCTCCAAATGCCTTCAGGGCAGGTTTGGCTGGCTAGAGTTGTGGGGATTGAACCACAGCAACCTGAGCCTGACTGTTTGTTGAAGCAGCCACTTAAAGAGCTGAGCTAAGGGGCAGGCACCTGGGGAAATATTTAGAAAGATTTGATAGAGATCAAATAACTAAAGTAAGTGAAATAAATAATAAATGTAGATCATTTATTATTTTGTAAAGCTAGAATGTTTTTATGGATATGCCAGATTTATATGGGAAATAAATAACAAATATTCAGCATTATTGCAAAGTTGGTTTCTATATACCTTTCCTTTATATTGTGCCTAGAATGAAATAAAAAAGTGAGGTGTGGTGACACTTGCCTGCAACTGAGGGCTCCTAGAAGATGAGGAAGGATGATTTTGTGTTGGAATACGGCCTGAGCCACATAGAGACTTAAGGAGATCTTGCCTCAAAATAATAAAATTTAAAGGGGTTGAAATATATCTCAGTGCAAAGTTTGAGTTCAACTCCCCAGGCTGAAAAAGGAAGAAAAATAAAACAAAAATGAAGAAAAATCTATACATTGACAATTTAGATAAAGTCCAGTGAGATTCTAGAATGGGGCTGTGAATAATATTTGTAATTATTATTATATTATATATAATTAATGTATCAATATTACCATCCCATGAAAATGACTATTTTAATTTTTGATAGATGTGGAACAATGTGTGAAGTGTCCAGATCATCAATATGCCATCACTCAGAGAAATTACTGCCTAGGAAAAGCTGTTATTTTTCTGGCTTATAAAGACCCCGTGGGAAAGATCCTGGCAGGCACTGCCCTGAGTCCCTCTGTTCTATCAGCTGCTGTTCTTGGGCTCTTTGTGAAGCACAGAGACACTCCCATCGTCAAGGCCAACAACAGGGCTATCAGCTACACCCTGCTCATCTCCCTCACCTGCTGTTTCCTCTGCTCCTTGCTCTTCATTGGCCATCCCAACACAGCCTCCTGCATCCTGCAGCAGACCACATTTGCAGTTGTGTTCACTGTGGCTGTTTCCACTGTCTTGGCCAAAACCATTACTGTGGTGCTGGCCTTTAAGGCCACTGTTGTAAGTGGGAGGATGAGGCAGTTGCTGGTGTCAGGGGCACCAAACTCCATCATCCCCATCTGCTCCCTGATCCAACTCACTCTCTGTGGAGTCTGGATGGGGACAAATCCACCCTACATTGACACAGACCCACACTCTGAACATGGCCATATCATCATCTTGTGCAACAAGGGTTCCCTCACTGCCTTCTACTGTGTCCTGGGATACCTGGGCTCCTTGGCCATGGTGAGTTTCACTGTGGCTTTCCTGGCCAGGAACCTGCCTGACACCTTCAATGAAGCCAAGTTCCTGACGTTCAGCATGCTGGTGTTCTGCAGCGTGTGGGTCACCTTCCTGCCCGTGTACCACAGCAGCAAGGGGAAGGCCATGGTGGCCATGGAGGTCTTCTCCATCTTGGCCTCCATTGCAGGGCTGCTCGGCTGCATCTTTGTCCCCAAGTGCTACATTATTTTGCTAAGGCCAGAGAGGAATTCACTTTCTGACCTCAAGGATAAAACACATTCTGGAAGAAAAAAAGCTTTTTTTAAATTAAAACTTTATGA